GCAGTGGCCGGCCCTGGACAATGGGTACTTGTGCATTGGGCATGCTCAGATAGGTCTTCAGACATAAACCCAGAAACTTCCCAAGTGGCTCAGCCCCACAGACATTATGGTTCACCTCTTTGCCACTGTCCACCCCCTCCACAAAGTTTTTGAAGTTCCTTCATACTTACCAAAATGGGGAGTTCTCTATCTTGAATGTAAGTGATGCGTGAGCCGTGCTGAAGGAAATAATAAGTATCTAGAGGCCAGCAGGGGGTGTAGTGGTGAGGGCCCTGGACTCCCACATGGCTGACCATGGTTTCATTCCCAGACCTGGCAGCTTGAAAATCACACTAGGTGTATGTCATACATGCCCCAAATCCCAGAGGAGAATGGAGGAGAAGGGACTGAAGCGTGGCCATCCCCCCAGGGGGTGATTTCTCACTCTCCCTCTCTGTCTCAAGCGAGTACACATGCCCTATGGCGAAAACAAAACAAAACAAAAATTATCTGGATAAATAGAGGCAGGAAGAATTTTGCAGAGAGGAAAACAATGGTTTGAAAAACTATAACTCAGTTTTTTTTTTTCTTTTTTTGGAGAGGTTTTTGCTATAGGGTGTACGCGCTTGCCAGAAAGACAGAAAGAGACAGAGAGACAGAAAGTGAGAAATCACCTCCCAGGAGGGATGGCCATGCTGCAATCCCTTCTCCTCCATTCTCCTTTCTGGATCTTGGGCATGCATGCACACGCACCCGGAGTGAGTTTAATCCACCGGTCCACTGGTCTAGGACTCGAACTGCGATTGACTACATGGGAGTTCAACGACATAGCCATTATGCCAACTGCTGGTCCCTCAGGTTTTCACCTATAATTAAACAAGAAGATGGAAAAAGTTACACTCTATATAAGGAATTATCTTGTAAGTAAAATGATTGATGCACTTGATGCAGTTAAAGCATTAATAAATTATCTGTGATCCAACAGCTCCCATTGTATCAAAAGAGCTTAAAACAGAGGCTATTGAGGGACCAGCAGTTGGCATAATGGCTGTGTCGCTGGACTCCCATGTAGTCGACCGCGGTTCGAGTCCCGGATCTGGTGGCTTATCCCCACGCCGGGCGCGTGTGCGTGCGTGCCCAAGATCCCGAGAGGAGAATGGACGGGAAGGGATTGCGGCCACCTCCTCTTCGCTTTCTGTCTGTCTCTGTCTTTCTGGAGAGCGCACACACCCTATAGCAAAAACCTCTCCAAAACAAACAAACAAAAACCAAAAAACAGAGGCTATCACTGGGACTAGGTCACGTTCCTGGCCGTCTGCTAATAGTGAAGGTCTTTCAGGGCTGGGGTAAGTCTACATGAATTCTAGGCTAGAATCAATATATCGTGGGATAGGTGACACAGACATCTCTTGTGAAAGGCACATTTATCATCTTCCTTTTCTCTTAAGTGGAAGGACTGAGACATTTTCCTTCTCTCTCTCCCGTTTATCCTGGCTTCTCAAAGAGCTACTCAGATTGGGTTGCTGTTTTCCGTGTGTGTAAATGAGTATTTCCACTCTCATTGTCTGTGTGTTCAGGCATGCTGCAATCCTTTCCTTCGGGAGAGGCCACTGTGTTGTTATTTCTGATATCTGGAGTGATTCATGTGTTTGGAATGAACAGATGATTCCACATTGGAGCCTCTGATAATACTGTCGTTCCTGCCGCACTGGGCAGAGAGTCAGGGCTGTAACCAAGCCAGCGGATCTTCCACACATGTGTAAAGCACTTAAGCTACACTGCAATGCAGGGTTTCAACTTGCATGGACTTGATGATTGAATTCTAGTTTCCTCTTGGGTTTTCTATTAACATTATGAGAAGGGATTAGTAAAATAGCAACTTGTTAAAATTTTTTCCTGAGGAACTAAAACAGAACCTACCCTATTATTGTGATTGAAATCTCTTAACTAAGATCTTAAATTTTGAGGATTTTTGTTGCCCTTTACTTTTATTATGTATGAAGTCCTCCCTAACTCCTCCAACTTTTATGAGAGAGGGAAAAAGGGAGAAAGGATAGAGAGGTACTTTTGACAGGATCTCATGGTGTCACGATCCTCCTGCCCCAACCTCTCAGTTCACTAGGATCACAGGCAGGTGCAGTTGTACCAGCATGTTCAGGTTGGTTCAAGAACCAAACCCAGGCCTCCTATGTGGCTTCCAGTCTCCCAAATGGTAGCACTGTGCACCACTGAAGTTGCGGTTTATAAAGTTTGTTTTTTCTTTTAATAGATTTTATTTGTTAGAGTGGTTTTAAGACCACAGCAGAACAGAGAATTCTCATATATCACACATTACTTACCTCTCCATAGCCCCCCATCAACAGGCCCCACCATAGTGATACATTTGTTATAATCAATGAACCTACACTGACACATCATCACCCAAAGTCTAGGTTTGCAGTGAAGTGCATTCGTAATTTTGTATATTCCATGGATTTTGATGAATGTTTGCCATGTATTCACCTCACAGTATCATACAGAGGAGTTTCCCTGCCCTAAAAATTCTGTGATGTGCCTACTCATTCCTCCCTCCCCACCGTCCCCTGATAACCACTGATCTTTTTATTTTCCTCATAGTTTTGCCTTTTCCAGGCTGACACACAGTTACAATCATCCAGTCTTCTCGGGCTGTGTAGCTTTTTTTTCTTGGAATTATGCATGGAAGGAGACTCCATGTCTTTTCATCATTTGACAGCTCATTTCTTTTTAGCACTGAATGTATTTAATTATCTGTATGTGTAACAGTTTATTTACCCATTCATCTATGGAAGAACATCTTAGTTGCTTCCAAGTTTGGGTAATTATAAAGAAAGCTGCTATAAACATCCTTGTGTAAGTTCTTATGTGCAGATACAAGTTTTCAGCTCATTTTGGTAACTATCAAGGAGCTTGATTGCTGTATTGCAAGGTAAGAGTATATTTAGTTTTGTAAGGAACCACCAAAGGTCCTTTCAAAGTGGCCTGCTCATTTCACATTCTTACTAGGAATGCATGCGGGTTCTTACTGCTTTCCAACCTTGTAGCATTTGGTGTGGTCGGTGTTCTGGATTTTGGCCATTCTGATAGGTATATATCATTTAACTGGCTTTCCTTAATGACACAATGTTGAGCATCTTTTATATATTTATTTTCCAATGGTACATCTTTTTTTAGTAAGGTTTCTATTCAGGTATTTTTAAATTAAGTTGACATTTTCTTTTCCTTTTTTCTTTCTTTCTGTTGACTTTTAAAAGTTCTTGATATATTTTGGATAACAATCCTTTATCAGATATGTCTTTTGCAAATATATTCTTCTAATCTGTGGCTTGTCTTTTTTAAAAGTTTCTTTCTTTCTTTCATGAAAGAGAGCACCCCCACAGGGTCTTAACACTGTGATACACCTTCAGCCTCAGGCAGCCCCAGATCATGGTCAAATACACAGCTGAATACTCAAGGAGTTTCCAGACCTGAACCAGGAGCCCTTCCACACAGAGTGGCTTGTTTTATCACTGAACCACTGTCTGGTCCTTTTGGCTTGTCTTACCTTCTTGAATGTGATTCATACATAGATGTCTTTAACTTTATTAAAGTTTGGCATACTGATGATTTATTTCATGGATGACACTTGTATTCTTTTTAATTTTGATAATGATTGTTTTCCTGCTGCTCTTGAAGAGAGGACGTCTTCTCCTTATTCTGTCTCCACTGTTAATGATAATGCCTTTTCTACGGATCCCACACGATTACTGTGAACATGAAATGAGGTAGTGTTTGGGGAACCAGCAGTTAGCGTAATGGCTATGTCGCTGGACTCCCACGTAGTCGACCGCGGTTCGTGTCCTGGACCCGGTGGCTTAAAACTCACGCCGGGTGCGTGTGCGTGCGTGCCCAAGATCCCGAGAGGAGAATGGAGGAGAAGGGATTGCGGCGTGACCATCCCCCCTGGGGGGTGATTTCTCGCTTTCTGTCTCTATGTCTCTCTCTGTCTGTCTGGCGAGCGCACGTGCCCTACAGTGAAAATCTCTCTCCAAAAAAAAAAAAAAAAAAAATGAGGTAGTGTTTGCAAATGGGTTTTCAAGCAGAGATGATGTTGTACACGTGTCAGGTAGCATTTCTAGTCTCTTGACAGCCCACACATGAGCCTATACATGTGCACATGCATGTACACACATACACTTTTGTTTTTTTCTTTGTTGTATACATCATACCATTAAAAAGGATCTGTTTCTTATTACAGCTGACAAGAACATTGGAAATCTAAGAGGTAAAAAGGAGCAGATGCCATCTTGAATTCCAGAAAGTTTAAGAATGTATTAACTTTTACTGTGCAAGGAGAATCTGGGTCCCTTTCAGTGCTGTCTCTGGAAGGGATAATGATTCTTTGCTTGTTCAGGCTTTAACCAGCTTTCTGAGCCTTCTGAGACCTTCTGAACACTTTCTTACAAATTGTGGTCTTAGCAAGAACCCTGCTAATTCAGTTGAGCCAACTCTCCTACCGCTGATGTCTGATCACGTGACTTCCTGACCAGCCCCTCATTCTTCACCACCTCACAAGTGAGGTCTGATCACCCTGGCTAGTCTTCAGCAAGAATCCTGTCAGGTCAGTTTAGCCAGAATTGTCCTTACATCTGAGGTTACTGTTGAGTGATTCTCCACTCACTGACTGACAGAGTTGAACCCCATTTTGCCCTTACTGCAATGGGACAGATTCCTCCCTGATGGTCCTGTATCAAGTATGTCTTGCCACGCTTTAACAAGCACTGAATATATATATATATATATATATTTGCTTTTAACAGAAGCACAAACATTTATTTTATGACTTTTGCCAAGATTTTTCCCAGTTTACATTCACCTTCTGCTTCAGGTTTTTCTCATTTATTTGGACAAAACCAAGTGACACCGCAGTTAACTTTAACTGAATAACTTAAGATAGCAAAAGAGCACAAAGATGGAGAGAGAGAGGAAGAGAATTCCAATGGAAACAGTACTGTGGCTGTTTGGCATTTTCTGGCCCCCAGACCTGGCTGCAGGACAGGGTGTCACAGTTGCCCATTGATGGGAGACATGCTTTGATGCTGGGTGCATGTTCTTGACACACTGTGATCAGGTGCGCATGATGAAAGGTATAGGACACAGACTGGGATATTAGTGGGGTTGGTAGGGTGGGGAGCAGGGAAGAGGGTGATAAGCAAGCCGCAATAATGAAGTAATAATGAAGACTGGATCTAAAAAGTCACTTGATTGTTACATGATCCCGTGGATGCAGAAGAGAACCAACATATTACATCTGGGTGACAGCGTTTCCGATCCTTTTCTTACTTTAATCTGTTTCAGTCTGGGTTCTTCCAGCGATGTTTATTTAGAAGACATGGCAAGAAACAGAAAGAGGAATAAGGAAGGAAGAAAAGCCAATGTAAGAGTGCAGACATCAGTCAAGCTAGAATAAAATTGTGGGTGGTAACAAAGCCCCCAACATAGTAATTTGTCCCATGAAGTCTTGTCTTGATCATGTAATGTCTGTTGGGTATGGGGCAACTCTCTGGGGCAGCTGTTGTCATGAGATGACTCAGCTTTATTGAATGGCTCTATCGTGTCTCTACCCAAGGCCTCTTTTTCCAGGGCAAGAAAGAGAAACAGACCAGTGGCTTTCCTTTCCAGATCCTGGTGGAGTTTACATGTTAAAGCTGCCATTCTTTTCAGTAGACAAAGGAAGTAGAACTTAGAGGTTCAGTAACTTGAGTGAGGCCAACTCTGGGAAGTGAGAGGACAGGCTTCCAAGATATAGCCAGTTCCTCTCTGCCCCTTTTCACCTGGATCGATGTTTGAGCAATCCAGCAGACCGCCCCCAAACCTTGACAGCACAGCCTTGTGGGAAACATGTTTCCCCAGTCAAGTTTGCCCTAAAATGGGGGAAAGAATAAAAGGAATTCTCCACCGTGGCATATCCCAGAATATCTCCACCAGGTAAACACATTCTTTCCTAACAGAAATCGGTTGGGAAAAAATGATCTTTCTGAACAGTGGTCAACTGCTGCTGCTAAAATTGGACTATGATCCGTTACAACTAAGTCCTCTCTAAAAAGTCCCATTTCCAAGTAGCTGATGGTAATATGGAAAGAACAGATGGTGTTGGAAGCATTTGCTTCTGGCCGAGGTGTTGGGTGTGGAGTCACTGGGCTGGCTGCTCCTCTGCTTCCCAGGCCCAACAGTAAAACTGGGACCAAGGCATCACCCCTCCTAATCCTCAAATTCTCCAAGCAGAATTACTGTGAAGAGAGTTTCCATACTGATAAATTTACTTGGCTCCATTTCTCCTGGCATTGGGTGAGCATCAGAAAACTATCATTTATTAAAGTTTAAAATAGAAAGAATGTCATTACCACACCAACCCTTCTTTTAAAGGTATTTTCTATGTCAGAATTTGTCACCCAAACTTGTGAGGTTTGCCGCTCCGTGAGGTTAAGTGTGGAACAGGCATGTGCTATTTTTAAAAATGAAATGACTATAATTCACCTACTATTCCAAACCTTTTGGATTATTTCAACATATTCTTTTCCCAAACTTGTTTCCTAAGAGTGATATTCCTCCATGAAATTAATATCACAGGCTTCTAGCCCAGCCCCAAATCATTGGCTGTTTTGATAACATGAAGCTTGACAATTACCAATTGTGATGTAGATGTGACAGCAGTCGGAGATTTCACTAAAATGACAGTAACAATTCTTTGAGGAGAAATCTGTTTTCAGAACTGGCTGGGGGAAAAGAATCAAAACAGAAACAAACAACTCAATACATCTATTCTCCAAAATGCATATAAGCCCGTTAAAGCAACTTGCTGGTCTTCTGTCAGAACCACATTACAAGGCAGACAATTTATAGACAGCCATGCCGCTCCGTGAGGTTAAGTGTGGAACAGGCATGTGCTATTTTTAAAAATGAAATGACTATAATTCACCTACTATTCCAAACCTTTTGGATTATTTCAACATATTCTTTTCCCCCTTCTTAGCTGGTAATACTTGTCATTATATGATGAGTATTTAAAATAAAACAGAAGTAAATTCTTACACGTCTCTAAGTCTGATTACAGCTTATAAACTCCTTCCTCCGCAAGGGGAGATTGGATCTTTGCAAACTGATTTTTTTATGCCCATGATATGTGCACGTGTGTGTGTGTGTGTACAAGCAGGTACACGATTCAGTTGTTGCCTGGTTTTTGAATACTCACCTTAAAATTTCGATGGTAGCCTCTCCTTAGCATGACAATGAATCCACTGTTTCCATGCCACAGCCAAAACCTAAGCAAAAAGAGCCCCATTTTAAGATCACGCCACATGGGCTTTCTATGCCAACAGCTTCTGCAGGGCTAGGTGGTCTTAGCCTTTATGCCCCACATGTGTCATCAATCAGTCCATTCCCCAGGCACTCTCAGGGGCTCCCCCAGAAGTCGGACACATGAGGGCACCTTTTAGCAGCCCTAGGTCATTTGACAGAGGAAGTTCTGACTTTCTATGCTACTACATCACCGAGGAATCGGAAGCTATAAAATTGCATGATTTCACTGCAACCAAATATTTTTTGCGTAACACACTGAAAATCACAAACATTATTTAATATTAGTTGTTTCTGGTTTCTTTCTTAAAAAAAAAGAAAAAAAAAGATTTCTCCAGTGAGACCCTTATGTTTCCAGGAATGAACCCCCACCACAGTCTCCACTCTAGGTAAGGATGGTGGATTTTTGCTTACATGCGTCTGACCATCATCCTTTCCTTTGCAGAATGTTTGGGGAAGATCATGTGAAAAGCAGTGAGCCTCTCAAATTCTGAGATGGTGTATTAGAGTTGTCTGGAGAAACAGAACCAATAGGATAAATATATGTGTAAAAGAAAAGATTTATTGGGGCCAGGAGGTGGTGTGGTGGTTAAAGCTTTGAGCTCCAACATGGCAGTTTGAGTCCCAGACCTGGAGACTTGAAAATCACACTGGGCATATGTGCACGTGTGCCCAAAATCCCAAAAGGAGAATGGAGGAGAAGGGAGTATAGTGTGGCCATCCACCCTGGGGGGTGATTTCTCAGTTTCCTTCTCACTGTCTCCTCTGTCTCTCTCTGGTGAGTGCATGTGCCCTATGGGGACAGGGGAAGAAGAGAGAAGGAATTTATTATAAAAATTATCTCACATGATCACAAGACAGAAAAATCCCACAATAGGTTGTCTGAAAGCTGGAGAAACAGTGGAAATACTGGAGCAGGGAAACTGGTGCAGTTCCAGTCTCAGTCCTAATGGGGTCCCTCAAGAGGCCATAGGCCCTGGGACCCTGGAACAGTTGCTGGTGTGAGTCTAGAGTCCAAAGACAAAAGAACTTGAAGACTGGGGGAAGGGGTTGGGAGTGCCAGAAGACAAGTATCCCTCCCCTGCAGGCTACCCCTCCCAGACTCCAGCTCTCCTCCTTCCCTCTTCCCTCCAGGCAGACGCCCCCTGCCATGACACCTGGTGTCTCTGCAGCCTGATAGGGACTTCCAGCAATAGTCAGACATTATCATCCTGCCATACCATGGAGCTATGCTCATCAGTTGAGTTTTTCTAAGTCCTTAATCACGCTGAGCCAGCACTTAAAAAGATGGAAAACTATTGAGACATAAAGAATTACGTGATGGAATTCTAGTTGGTCATAGACTGCTAGATGGAGGAGGTCTGTGTCAGATTATTTTGCTGCATATTTACTAACGATGTTAGAGAAGCAAGACAAGAAGATATAAAAATAGAAGGTGTAGAACCAAATTCTTTTTCTAAGTTTTAAAAATTTATTTATTTTTTAGAGACATTTTTTGCTACAGGGCACTTATGCTCACCAGAGAGACAGAAAGTGAGAAATCAACCCCCAGGAGGGGTGGCCACACCACAATCCCATCTCCTCCATTCTTCTCTTGGGATTTTGGGCACTCACGCACACACACCCAGTGTGAGTTTTAAGCCACCAGGTTGAGAACTCGAACTATGGTCAGCTACATGGGAGTCCAGTAATGTAATCAACCTTTCCCTCTGCTGGTACCCTAGAACTGAATTCTTTATAGTCCTTGATTCAGTATACATATACAGATGATAAATCTGAAAATGGAGATGAAAATCTCTTAGATTTATGTTAAATTTCAGATTTCTGCTTTTAATAAAGTATGCCATAGCTAATAGTTAATTCTGCTATTGTCATCACCACTCCTGATGATATCTTTAGAGATTAAAATCTTCATGTTAAAACCTTGAAAATGGGTAAATAAAAAAAAAAATCTTGAGTGGGACCAGCAGTTAGCGTAATGGCTATGTCGCTGGACTCCCACATAGTCGACCACAGTTCGAGTACCGGACCCGGTGGCTTAAAACTCACACCAGGCACGTGTGTGTGTGTGCCCAAGATCCCGAGAGGAGAATGGAGGAGAAGGGATTGCGGCGTGGCCATCCCCCCGGGAGGTGATTTCTCGCTTTGTGTCTCTCTGTCTTTCTGGTGAGCGCATGAGCTCTATAAAAAAAAATCTCAAAAAAAAAAAAAAAAAAAGGAAAAACAAAAACAAAAACAAAAACCTCAAAGTCTGTCTAGCTGAAGGGGCACAGGTGTTAGGAGCCAGCAGGTACAAATGCAGCTAAGGGCTGAGTGGAGCAACAGGATGAAGCAGGTCAGATGTGTAGGAGTGGAACACACAGCATGCTCTGGAAGAAGGTGGGGAGAAGGCAGGAGGAGGAAAGGAAATAGAATCCCACTTGCACTACTTGTTCATCCCATGCTGCAGCCAATTGGATAATTCCTGCCCATGATGAAGGTAGATCTTCCTCTGTCAGCACTTTCAGAGGCTGAGAAACTATGTTTCATTAGTCTTCCAGGCATTCTTCAATCCAGTCAGCTTGACACCAGAAATTAGCCATCACACATGAGAATGGAAATAGCAGGCCATGGAAAACCATGATTAAAAACATCTACTCAAGTTGTTGTCCATGGCTACTCAAGATCATATGCCTTTTGAGGAAGAATCAATAGAACTAAAGAAGAAATGAACATCATCCTGCAGTTTGGACTAAGGAAAAGTGACTCTACTCCCTCTAGTTGCAGTAACTGGATGTGACTTCAGGTTTCCTTCCATTGCAGGAGCATGGATCTGCATTTTGAAATTATAGCTATGAAATTGTATTTAAGAGAGCATGTGTGTGTGCATGGGTGGCCAAGTGGGGAGGAAGGCTGTACATAACTAGCATTTTGCGGAACCAGCACTCCTCTGATTTACTAGCATGCTCCTCATGATTTGGTAGATGCTTCTTACATAACCTAGCCCTGATTAGATGAGTGAGCTTATGACCAGGTTAGACCAGAATCTTTTCTCCCAGACCTTCAATCTTGACCCCAAATACACAGGGGCATAAGGGGGCTGCATCTGAGGCCTCTGACAGCAATGCTTAATAGGCAAAGCCTAAAATTCTTGCTACTGAAATTCCTGGAACAAGAGCAACTCTGGATCCTTTATTTCTCAAAGTCAAATGTTCAGCTAACATCACTAAGGATTCGGAGTGACCCAGAATCCTTCCGAAGAACCCTGCTGACTCAACCCTCTGCTCGAGAGACACACAAGATAATACAAGACACTCGTTTATCGATGACCTTCTAGGCACCAGGCCCTATACCAAACTATTTTCTGCAGTATCAAATTTCTTTCACTACTCAGATTCTGTAAGGGAATGATAGCATCTTATTGGATTCTAGCAGAGGTTGTCATTCTAGCAGAGATGTCACTCACATCTCTCACCTATAACCAAGTGATCCAATGTGTACAAATACCCCAGAAACTCTCTGAACCTGGAGTAGAATAATTCTGGACTGTTTTTGGCCTCATTTCTTAGCATTTCTCTGAAGGCTCAATTACCTCCTGCAGTCGCTGGCTTCATGGAGTACCCTTTCTGGCTGTTGACCTTTGTGGATCACTTCCACCTTCCTTGCTGTGTTACTCAAACTTCCCAAATAAAACACCTCCACTTAATCCTTGGCTTTGTGTCTGCGTCTTAGAAAAGACAAAGTAAAACAGGCTTTCTGGGAGGCTTAGAAGATGTAGCTTAGAGTCATCATGTGTTAATCGCTCCATAAATATTAATCCACCTCCACGTTATAGATGAGGACAATGAGAGACAGAGGATCCAGAGGATCCCTAACCCTAACCTAACCCTAACCTAACCCTAATCCTAACCCTAACCTAACCCAACCCTAACCTAACCCTAACCCTACCCAATATCATCCAGGGAGCAGATGGCATATCGAGGTTGGCACCCAGAAATTACCCTTCATGACAACGTCGATCCACTGCCTAGACCAGGATTTGTTCAACTGTTGATATCTGGGGTGAATGCTTCTTTGTTGTGGGAGCTGCCCTGTGTAGTATAGGGTGGTTAGCAGCATCCCTGGGCTCTAGGCACTAGACCAGAACCACTTACCCACTGCAGTGACAATAAAAATGCCTCCAAAAATTGTCAAACAGCATCTAGGGGGAGGGAGGTATTGCCCTGGTGAGAAGCCTGCACTGGAGAGCCAGGTCCAATCAGTAAAAGCTCAGTGATAGATCAGAGTCTAGACTGATGGAGAGGCCAGAGTGACAGAGCTGATTTATTGACCCTGTATAAGCCTCTGATCCAGTCTCTGTCTTCTGACTCCACATTTGGCCCATTTTCCGTTATGCAAGGCTTCCTGAGATCAATTGTTCCACCGCTCTGCTTGTTAGAAAGTTCTTTCCCAGTGAGCCCAAATCTGCTTGTTGGGAACTTACTTCATCAGTGTGCCCTCCAGAGCCATGCAGAAGCCTAATCCCTCTTCATGGGCTGGTACTTCAGCAATTTGAAAACAGCTCATGTGTTCCAGCCCTGTCCCTGCCCCCCAGGCCTGCACAAACCGCTTGGAGTCTTTCCGTGGCTCTCGCAGCACTCAGAGGTTCACACTCAATGGCAGTGTCAACGACTGTAACACCTACTGGTGCCAGGTTCTACGAGAAGTCAGGCTCCTTCTCAGGCCTGTGACAAAAATTTCCAGGTACCTAGAATCAATGTATTTTGAACCTTCCGGTGATTCTGAGCTAGGCCTTCCAGGTCAGGATTTTGGATCCTCTGATCTGACTTATTTCACCTCCAGGCAATAGAGTTCAGATTTATCTATTAAAGCGTCTGTCTAAAAGATGTCTCTTGAAGAAAGTATTAAAAAGACATTCTTAAAATAAAAGGATATTAGCTGAAAGAGGTGCATTTTGTGCCCAGCGTTATTTTCAGTAAAATAGTCTTTTTTATAATTTGTAACAAAACAAACAAAAACTTAGAAGTTGATACAAAGAAATATTAGCCAGGCTTATTTCTCTAGATAGCGGAATTAAAGAGATTAAATTTTTTCTTCTTTCTTGTTTTCATTTTAAAGATTATAATTGAACATACATGTGTGTATGAAAGGATCTTCAAAAGGATTGATGGAAAATGCACATTCTGAAAAAACTATGCAAAGATGTCTGGGAACCAGCAGTTAGCGTAATGGCTAGGTCGCTGGACTCCCACGTAGTCAGTCGACCGCGGTTCGCATCCTGGACCCGGTGGCTGAAAACTCACGCCAGGTGCATGTGCGTGCGTGCCCAAGATCCCGAGAGGAGAATGGAGGAGAAGGGATTGCGGCGTGGCCATCCCCCCTGGGGAGTGATTTCTCGCTTTCTGTCTCTATGTCTCTCTCTGTCTGTCTGGCGAGCGCACGTGCCCTATAGCAAAAAAAACCTCTCCAAAAGAAAAAAAACTATGCAAAGATGTCAAACTTTTTTGAACCAAAGTATGCCTATACTTTAATTCTATTTTTCTACAAACTTCTTAAAGTACCCTCACATGTGTGTATGACACACACATGTGCACACATGTATATATACATATATAGCAATACGGTTTTGAAAATTATTTATGAAATGGTAATGACAACCATTTATTTCTTATAGGGATGATGACACCTGGTAGAAATCAATGTCAGAAATATAGGATGCAATCATGAAACTAGACCTATTTGGGGAATAAGAGAACATTAGCAGGGTAGAATTAAAACAAATGCCAGGAGCCAGTAGATGGCTTAATAGTTACACTACGGAACTCCTACATAGATGACTGCGGATCAAATCCCGGACCCAGTGACTTAAAACTCACACTGGATGCATGTGTGTGCATGCCCAAGATCTGGAAAGGAAAAATGGAGGAGAAGGGATTGTGGTGTGGCCATCCCCCCCGGTGGGTGATTTCTCACTTTTTGTTTCTTTGGCAAGTGCACATGCCCTATAGCAAAAACTCTCTCAGAAAACAAACATATAAACACCAGGTCCTCGCCCTTCATTTAAGGAAGTGGAAAAGAAGACCTAACAGTGATAAACCTCTTTATCTTTTCCTGGGCACATCCACATAAAGAACCTAATTAAAAGGAATGGACATAAAGCATAAAAAGTAGTAACAGCAAGGAAGCAAGTTCCAAGGGTGGGGGAAAAACCACGAAAACAGGCTCTTAGATCTGTTCCAGGTAAACCGCCATTCCTTCGGCTTACGGGTTACAGGAGGTTCATCACACAGGAATGACGATTTAACTCCCTTTTGCCTGAGGCTTTCTTTTACATGACCCATGTTTTCCTCCTTCCCTTTTAACTGTCCCTATTTGGGTTAAATAAATAACAATGGCTTACTTTTCTCCTGGAGAGTCTTGCTGATTTCCCATTGCTGCTGCCTGCCTATATACTGGCATGAGACCCTCCTGTGGGTAGGTGCTCTCCTCTCTTCCTTGCATAAGTTTTCTCTTCCTGCGGGTGAAGTCATGTTATTTCTGGTTGCGAGGATCAGGGTTCTGGGCAGAGTCCACAGCAGCATCTCCTCCCTTTGGCCACAGTTTGGCTAATGAGCACAACGTTTGCAGGTCTGTGTAAAACCTCCACCAACCAGCCCCCACTTTTTTTTTAAAGTGAAATGTAAGTCTACATTTCAAACTACACCAGACAACTGGACTCCACAGGGGGACAGCCTCTGTTCTGTGGGAATGATACTTCTGAATCGTTTTGAGGGCCATTCTATTTCAAGTTGCAAGGACTGTGTGTGAGAAAGAGAGAGCGAGAGACAGAGAGGACCGAGAGAAAATTCTAGCAAAGTAATGTAATGTGTGCAACGTGTGCACGGGTGCTGGTGGTAATGCTGCCCTAAATAGCCTGGGCATTCACCGGCTGCTTTTGGTTCATCAAATGCTAATCCTTTCAGGTGCAGACTTATATAAAACACCGAGGGTTAGAGGTGCACAGCAACCTCAAAGCTCTTCTGCTCCATAAGGTAAAGACATGTTTAAACTAACAGTTTGATGTTATTTCCAGAGTACTAACAAGGAGACACTTCAAAAACTTACCCATTCTTTATTAAATAGCGATATAGGATAGGATACAGACCCTAGAATGTGCCGAATTAATAACACGCATTAGGTAGATTACAGCGGTTCTTATCTAGACTGCTTTTGGATGCATTGCTGTCTCTGGGGGGAGAGTCCATTTTTTCTGTCACCTACAATGACGGCAAGAAAGTCATTTCATTTCACAAGGAAAACCGGCACCTGGTATTTGAAAATAGTTCTTTTCTTGCATGCAAAAAATGTCTTAAATTTGATGCTCAGCATCCCACGGTGATGGATAGGGATGCTGCACACAGGGCAAGTCCACTCTATAGCTTTGGAGAAGGTAGCAGTTGTGACAGTGTATGTGCGAGATGCTTGGCATGAGCTGCCTCTCCTAATTCCCACCACCGCCGTAGAGGTAGGGGCCACCATTATCTACATTCACCATGGACTGAACACGGCAGAGCTTCTGACCACAGTGCTCAGACATCTCCTCTGAGGATCACTGTGTATTTTCCAACAACCAGCCTGCTATTTAAAAACATTTTATTTTTAAATTGCTAGAGGGCACCTGTAGTTGCCAGAGAGAAGCAGAGAGGGAGAGGGAGAAAGCACCTCTCGATGGGACATGGTCACACCACAGTTCCTTCTCCATTTCTCCATCCTGTCTGCACTGGGGGCATGTACATACACACATCCTACATGCTTTTTAAGCTGCTGGAGCCAGCTTGAATTCAAACTGTGGATGGCCATGTGAGATCCAGCTCTCTTAACCACTGGACTACAGGCCTGATTCCATTCTGTTATTTTTTAGATTTTTTGGAAAGGTTTTTGCTATAGGGCATGTGCGCTCGCCAGACAGACAGAGACAGAGAGACAGAAAATGAGAAATCACCCCCCAGGGGGGATGCCCACGCCACAATCTCTTCTCCTCCATTCTCTTCTTAGGATCTTGGGCACGCACGCACATGTGCCTGGAATGAGTTTTAAGCCACCGGGTCCGGGAAGCGAACCGCAGTCAACTACATGGGAGTCCAGCGACATAGCCATTACGCTAACTGCTGGTCCCCCCGTCTGATATTTTTGTAAGGCAACAATTAACTTCTTGGATTGGCAGGAAATGTGATAAAAAGAAGCAAGTCTAAAAAGAAAAAACTTCTCCTGGGAGGCCAGACTGTCAGAAAACTTGTGGCTGGCCTGCCTGAGTTGGGAAATGCGGTAAATAGTGCAATATGTGATAGAGAGCCAATGAAATGCCGTGTTATTCTCCAGAAGTATGGTTTCTTTGAAATCCCGTTTCATAGACATTGGCGGGACAGGGACCTCTTCAGCCGTGGGATGGAGTTAGAGGCACTCTCTTGTGTTGTCTGTGCTTGTTCCCCGAGGGCAATCTGTGCCTGAATGACTGGACTTGGTGTTGGTCTTCAGGCAAGCTAGTTAGTAAGGTCAGCTCACGTAGCCAGCTGCCATCCTCATCTAGCCAAAATGGCAGGATGAGGCAACTCATGTGTGTGGAGAATAAATCCAGGATGGTAAACAGGAATGAGGGAAACCACCTACACTTGGAGAACAATGACATAAAAAAAGGCGGCAAATGTCACCGCAAGCAGCATGGACCCAAAGTATTTTGAGGAATTTCAAGGCACACAAGCAACAAAAACCAAAGCTGACCCTAGGCAGCTCCGGCTGTGTCTGCCTTGTGGTGAAGAGTGTAGATTCCACAGCTGCACGCCTGACCCTGACTCTTGGCTCGTCCCTGGCCAGCTGTGTCTGGCTTTGGGCTGGTTTTTAATCTCTCTGTGGCTGAATTTCTCTCCTCTGAGACAAGGTGTAACGGTAGTATCTACTTCACGGTGCCGATGACAGGATTAAGTGCCATACACTTAAAGCACTAGAACGGTGTGAGCGGCTCTGTGACAAGTCCTCCAGCAGCGTCAGGAATTAGTATTTTGATTCTGATCAATGATCCCAATAGCCAGGTGTCTCAATCGGGTTGAGTTTTCTTGCACTTTAGTAATGCCTTTTGCCGTTCTGTTGCTCACTGCAGCCCTATGAGGAATGCAGATATTTTTTTTGCTGATGAGGAAATGGGCACTGAAGGATTAAATGATTGCCCAGTGTTAGAGTGGGGAGCCAAGTCTGGCTCCCAGCTCCTGGCTCCTGGCTCCTGGCTCCAGGGCTTTCTACTATCTCATAAGGGAGCCTCAGATGAAAGGGGAGCAGCTTTGGGTTTGCTCCAAAAACCGGGCTTCTCATCTGGGATGCCATTGACCCACGACTCACCCACGACTGGCAAGCACACCCAGTGGTATGCAACGCTGGGCAGATGCTCTTTATTCAGTGTCAAAAGTTATTAGAAATACATCTTAGACCCCCCAGAACTTAGTGATGTGCTACAGTACATGGTGGTGGTGGGGAAGGGGATTGGCAAAGGGTGATTTTGTAAATCAATGGAGACTTGCTGTGGCCTCTGGAGACATGGTGCCTGCTCCCCAGCGACTGCTGCTCTCGTTAGCCTCTCGGTGCACACAAGCTGGCGGTATTTAATGGCCTCCCTGTGCCTTCCTCTGCGCAGAGGGCAGCTCCTTTGGCGGTTGCTTTGCTCACCCAGGGAACTAAGCCGAAAAGCAGCCGTTCTTTCCGGCTCAGCAGATGCTAAGGCGATAAGCTACACTTTTTGGAGCCGGCAGGAGAGGCAGACTTGACTTGGGCTGAGCGACCGGGGTCTGGTCCAGTTCTTTCCTGTTAGGCTCGAGTGATGGACGTGTGTCTGAGCTCCGCGCCGCAGCCCGCGCGCGTCGGGAGGGCTGCGACCTGCCCGGATGGCTGTGTGGAGGCGGTGAGTGAGGGCGCGCTCCTGACGGATGGCACCGAGGGACCCCAAGGAGGTAACCTCCCCCTTCTCCTCACCACTTTTCCTCAGTTGCTTTCTTGGCAGTGACATTCTCAAGTAAACCTCAGTGACAAGAACTTCTTCCTTGTAATGCTAGATTTTTACCATAAAGATCAGTAGCAACAGGCCCTTATGCAAGCATAAACAGCATTTAAAAATAATGATTTTTTTCATAATTTACTCATCAAAGTCCACAGACTGTCTTGTGTATAAATTGAAGACTGTTATATTTTTATAATACAAATTTTAAAAAAACCAACTGGATTCATTTCCGTTTTTGGCCAAGATGCATTCTTGGCAAGCTTCCTTCTCATACAGCAGGTCCTTGTAAATCAAAGTGTATTTTCCCATTAGGACAATGTAACAGTTTAGAGTTGCATTTCTGGGCATGGATTCAGTAGTAAATAAATAATAGACATAACAAATGAGGCAATAAAAGCCAAGATATAACATTTAAAACGTTTATAATCATTTGAAGTGGTAAAAATAAGCCCTGACTCTACTAAATGAGGGTGTGCATTTATTTTTATGAAGTCATCTACATAAAAATGCAGCTATGCCTTATGTCTAAAATGCGATCCCTGTAAACCACCAGACTAACACAGAAAATGAAAGTACTTCAAGTGCAATAAACACTTCTGTGACCAAACTCTTTGTCTTCTACAACTTCAGAGGGTCTTATGGGAGAATATTTATATGCTTGTGCTTCTTCACAATGTTCATCAGGCAATGTAACTGTCAAGTTTAATATTTGTCTGTTGATTTCCCTGTGGAATGATGAGTTATTCATAATTACTCCAATGCCTTCCCCCACCCCCATAGTCTTCAGAGAAAAATACGTTCCCAAATGGTGAAGGGAAGGAAAGGGGAAAGCATGCCTTGGGTGAAAGGAGGGTGGTACAGGGATACTGGCAGGGGCTGGTGAGAGTCACCTGTCCCCACATGTGCTGACTTATACTGTCACCTACACTTCAGAACAATTTCCAGCTGGCTACTGAATGTGGTCATGATTAAAATTTAAATTGTATAAACTTACTACAAAATATATAGAAGACATAGGTGTATTTTAAAATGAAGGTAACACTCAGAACTCACCACTAATTATTTCACTGCATTTTACTAACATTTATATTCTTGAGATATTCAAGTTTACTGTTGATGGTGTGGTAGAAGTACCGTTCAGTGGTGTGCTACAACACATCTTTCTTCTTGTCCCAGGAATCAGCCCTGGTATAAGTATTTACACCAGGGCAATGGTCAAATCCTATAATTCAGCACTCTACGTCTTCCTGAACTGTGTGATGAACATTTAACAACAGCAAGCCCCCATGGATTCCTCTGCCTTTTTATTGTCTCTGAACTGTATATCAGAGCCAGCCTCTCAGTCCCATGTTAGAAATAAGGGTCTCTTTAATTATTTATAAACATTGAGTCTGTTTTGTTAGATATCAGTAGCTTCCCATAATAAGAGGTAGTGAAGGCTATAGGTCTCATCCCTACCCTACAGCCTCCCTGCATCCTCTACCAGTGTACATGACAGCAAAGAACAAAGTCTCAACCCTGAATTGGCTACTGTTTATCAGCAGGTTCTTGTAAGATTGGAGAAGCCCAGGTCTCTCGAAGCTCACTTTTTTGGACAGGGCAGAGAATTCTCCTTCAAGTGATGGACACACCAAGTCAGAACCATGGCCAAGAACACTCTGGAGCTAGGGACAGCCAATATGCTGATTTCAAATAAGTCCGTTCACTCATGCTGTGGTCAAGGACCACTTCCTAATGGACTGCACATTGACCCTTGTAAAATGTAATCCAAATGAATTTCTAGAAAGACAACATGAAAATATACAGATATAAAATACACATCTCTTGTTTTTTTGTAATTAAATTCCACAGACCTTGTCAAAATGTTGGCGATATCTCAGAAGGTCTACCCCAAATTTCTGTGCTTTCCTTTATGGGAGTCTGTTACGAAGGTTTAACGGTTTGCAGACCAGCAGCCTAGACCTGCTCTGATGGATCCTAAAATCAGTGATTATTGAAATGGCCTGTAGGCCTGGTCGAGGGACGGGCTGCTGATCAGTTTCACCAGGGCCCACTCCCATTGGCCTTGTATTCACGTGATCTCTGTGCCCCCAACTCCCTCCCGTCTGGAGCACACGTTTCCTAGTGACTGCTCCTTCTAGCTGTTTTCCGAAGCCCATGTTTCACCCTTGGTTAAAAATTTTCCAGTTACATCTCAGGCAAGAAAGGCAAATTTCATGCAAATAAAACTGACCTTTTAACCCCCACAGACTCCTCACTTAACTCCTTCTCTTGCTGGGCCAACATCGCTTCCTCTGCTGCTGAAGGCCCCTGAGTATGGGTGTGCCCAGACAGCACAGCCTTCCTGACATTCTTGCTCACTGTTCTTTGTGTTCCTAAACACCCTCGACAATGGGTGCATCCACCACGTCAGCCCCGCCCGATCAGGTGCCCTTTTCCTCTCATTTTATATGATATCTGAGAGCTGCTCTGTGGGTCATGGGTTTAGAAGAGTATTTAAAGCAATAGTAACTTAATAGCCAGAGCTCAGCTGACAGCCTCCTCCAGGACTGTAGAGCTGGCTCAGCCTTGGGTGGCCTGGACCTTTTGAGGCGCAGTTGTAGAAAGGATTTAAGGAACACACTCCAGCCAACTTGAGGGAATGTTACTTCAAGAACCTAAAAATAGTCAGGTGCATGTTTACCTAGTCCCTCCTGATCCAAAGAGCTCATTTTGCCGTTTGCTAGTAAGCTGGCTTTCTCCTGTCACTGAATCATGAGTGGGGATGAATCTACGCCTTCTGCCCTCTCCTGAGTAAAAGGAAGACCCAGGGCATCTTTTGGCATTTTGTTATAAAAATGTCATGTGTGAATTTCATGTCCCTGTCACCCCATATATGGGTTTTGGGCTAATGTGCAGGCATGGCTGTTGATAGCCTACCCCCTCTGTTATGGAGAGGCTGCTCAATCTGTCCCCACCTCACCAACTGTACCGTGTATATGCGCTTGGGTTAACAGATCATCGAACTCATGCAGCTGTTCTGCTTCACAGATTCTCACGAGACAGAGCCATCCCTTCACAGCCTCCAGACCTTTGTTCCGACCGATTATGCCAGCTACACTCTGGAGCATTACCAGTTTGTGGGCAGGAAGATCATCATTCAGGAATCAATCGAGAGTTACGGAGCCGTGGTGTGGCCGGGGGTGAGCGCGTGTACATTTGTGGTGTCAGGATCTCTGGTGTCACGATGTCCCGTGTCTGTGGTGCCATAGACAATTCCTCAAGTGCTTTACATATTGGGCTTCTCAGGTTGAAGACTGATTGCCTGGCCCCCTCAGGGAGATTAGCGGTGTGCTGAGGTCAGCAAAAACACAGCATTTCTTCCAGATGCATTGGCTTTGTTTTAAACTCAGTTTCTTGAAACTGTTATCTTTATATGAATAAACTTCACTATATTTGCACAATTTATACGAATTATTAAGGAAAACGTGGGGAATTGAGAATTTAGACAGCTCACTTCAGTAGAAACCCTCAGAAGCAGTACTCTGCCTCCTGTGACCCCTGCCACAGCCCACAAAGAGTGGCACTGAAACAGGAGTTAGAGCCAGACCCCGCCGTTTCTGTGCTCTGTGGTCACAAATGTCTAGCTCATCTCCATTTACTTCTGCTTCATGTGTAAAATGTGGACGAGCTGGTGGTGACGTCATGGTGGTGAGAATGAACTCAAGTGTTACCTGGAAGCCTGTATTAGTATCACTATTTCTGAAAACAGGGTCTTGCCATGTCTCATTCTCCTGCCTAAGCCTCTCACCAGGGTTCACAGTGATATACAACTAGGTCCAGCTGTGTTTTTGGACAGGGCCTGGCTGTGTTGCCCAGACCAGCCCCCCAGCTCACAATTCTGCCTCACCTTCCCAAACTCTGGGCCTCCACATGTACAGCATCACACCTGGCCTTTAGGTCGGACCAGGAATTGAACCTGGGCCCCCATGTGGTTCCAGTTTGCAGAGCCCAGTGACTCAGCTGTGTGTATTAACGGGGCTAGGGTTGGGCTTGGCCAAGGTCAAATCATTAACGTAAAATTATTTTCACCTTACAAGGGAGAGAACGAGGGCCCAGGGAGGTTCACAGGTTTGGTGGAGCCATTTGGGCGCATTGCCGAGCCAGGCGGGGTGATGGCCCTCCCTCCTGGCAGCTTGCAGTGCAGAGGCTACCAGCCCGTGCTGATAGAGGCTCCAGGTTAGATCTGCTGACTACATGCACGTGAACTGCACTGTGATCCTGTCAACATGCAGGTCCTGATTCAGAGGGTTGGGGGCAAGGCTGAGGGTGGGGGTGGAGGCTGTGAGCCATTGTCTACAAACTTCCAGGTGGGCAGCACTGCTGGTCCAGGGACCCTACCAGATGTTCAATGGGGAGTAAGGAGAGGGGCTCCTCACGGCCTCCTCATGGGCCTCTTCATGATCTCGTCATGGCCTTCCCAACAAGGAGGCTATTTTTACACCTTGTGCATGTCAGGATGATTTCTTTCTCAAACTAAAGCTTTTCTTTGCCTTAATAAGTTTGGAACTCATCAAACTACTTCACAGCCTCCTGTTATAACAGCCCAGTTGGTGAGTAGACAACTATAGCAGTGGCATCAGAGATTAAAGAACATTTGTCCACGTGACTGTTGTAGCCTCAACAAGAACTCAGTCTTTCACATACCAAATAGCGGCGCCCCCCCAGGACCCGAGTTCCCCCAGGCAGCCATGGAGGGTAGGAGAATGCCCTCCTCTGTGGAACAGGTCACTTCAGAGTCTGCTCACAGGGCCACGGGCTGGGGCGTGTTTGCCATGTCTAAAGGCAGCTCTGCTGCTGAGAAACCATGACTGCATGACGAGGCCTAGGGGCTAGCCCCTCTCTCATTTTGCCGTTTGCTAGTAAGCTGGCTTTCTCCTGTCACTGAATCATGAGTGGGGATGAATCTACGCCTTCTGCCCTCTCCTGAGTAAAAGGAAGACCCAGGGCATCTTTTGGCATTTTGTTATAAAAATGTCATGTGTGAATTTCATGTCCCTGTCACCCCATATATGGGTTTTGGGCTAATGTGCAGGCATGGCTGTTGATAGCCTACCCCCTCTGTTATGGAGAGGCTGCTCAATCTGTCCCCACCTCACCAACTGTACCGTGTATATGCGCTTGGGTTAACAGATCATCGAACTCATGCAGCTGTTCTGCTTCACAGATTCTCACGAGACAGAGCCATCCCTTCACAGCCTCCAGACCTTTGTTCCGACCGATTATGCCAGCTACACTCTGGAGCATTACCAGTTTGTGGGCAGGAAGATCATCATTCAGGAATCAATCGAGAGTTACGGAGCCGTGGTGTGGCCGGGGGTGAGCGCGTGTACATTTGTGGTGTCAGGATCTCTGGTGTCACGATGTCCCGTGTCTGTGGTGCCATAGACAATTCCTCAAGTGCTTTACATATTGGGCTTCTCAGGTTGAAGACTGATTGCCTGGCCCCCTCAGGGAGATTAGCGGTGTGCTGAGGTCAGCAAAAACACAGCATTTCTTCCAGATGCATTGGCTTTGTTTTAAACTCAGTTTCTTGAAACTGTTATCTTTATATGAATAAACTTCACTATATTTGCACAATTTATACGAATTATTAAGGAAAACGTGGGGAATTGAGAATTTAGACAGCTCACTTCAGTAGAAACCCTCAGAAGCAGTACTCTGCCTCCTGTGACCCCTGCCACAGCCCACAAAGAGTGGCACTGAAACAGGAGTTAGAGCCAGACCCCGCCGTTTCTGTGCTCTGTGGTCACAAATGTCTAGCTCATCTCCATTTACTTCTGCTTCATGTGTAAAATGTGGACGAGCTGGTGGTGACGTCATGGTGGTGAGAATGAACTCAAGTGTTACCTGGAAGCCTGTATTAGTATCACTATTTCTGAAAACAGGGTCTTGCCATGTCTCATTCTCCTGCCTAAGCCTCTCACCAGGGTTCACAGTGATATACAACTAGGTCCAGCTGTGTTTTTGGACAGGGCCTGGCTGTGTTGCCCAGACCAGCCCCCCAGCTCACAATTCTGCCTCACCTTCCCAAACTCTGGGCCTCCACATGTACAGCATCACACCTGGCCTTTAGGTCGGACCAGGAATTGAACCTGGGCCCCCATGTGGTTCCAGTTTGCAGAGCCCAGTGACTCAGCTGTGTGTATTAACGGGGCTAGGGTTGGGCTTGGCCAAGGTCAAATCATTAACGTAAAATTATTTTCACCTTACAAGGGAGAGAACGAGGGCCCAGGGAGGTTCACAGGTTTGGTGGAGCCATTTGGGCGCATTGCCGAGCCAGGCGGGGTGATGGCCCTCCCTCCTGGCAGCTTGCAGTGCAGAGGCTACCAGCCCGTGCTGATAGAGGCTCCAGGTTAGATCTGCTGACTACATGCACGTGAACTGCACTGTGATCCTGTCAACATGCAGGTCCTGATTCAGAGGGTTGGGGGCAAGGCTGAGGGTGGGGGTGGAGGCTGTGAGCCATTGTCTACAAACTTCCAGGTGGGCAGCACTGCTGGTCCAGGGACCCTACCAGATGTTCAATGGGGAGTAAGGAGAGGGGCTCCTCACGGCCTCCTCATGGGCCTCTTCATGATCTCGTCATGGCCTTCCCAACAAGGAGGCTATTTTTACACCTTGTGCATGTCAGGATGATTTCTTTCTCAAACTAAAGCTTTTCTTTGCCTTAATAAGTTTGGAACTCATCAAACTACTTCACAGCCTCCTGTTATAACAACCCAGTTGGTGAGTAGACAACTACAGCAGTGGCATCAGAGATTAAAGAACATTTGTATTCTGTTATAACAGCCCAGTTGGTGAGTAGACAACTATAGCAGTGGCATCAGAGATTAAAGAACATTTGTCCACGTGACTGTTGTAGCCTCAACAAGAACTCAGTCTTTCACATACCAAATAGCGGCGCCCCCCCAGGACCCGAGTTCCCCCAGGCAGCCATGGAGGGTAGGAGAATGCCCTCCTCTGTGGAACAGGTCACTTCAGAGTCTGCTCACAGGGCCACGGGCTGGGGCGTGTTTGCCATGTCTAAAGGCAGCTCTGCTGCTGAGAAACCATGACTGCATGACGAGGCCTAGGGGCTAGCCCCTCTCACTGGGCACGACGTAGGAAGCCCTTGGAGCTAGGCCTCGGATGCTCTGGGTGACCCTCTTTTCCTACTAGGGAAACCTTTCCCTCTCTCCTTAAGAGCCAAGGAACCGCTTTCCCCAAAACTCCCTTCTCTCTCCGGAGCAGTGCACGTGTCTGGCTGGTGTGACTGTGCACCCGGTTCCCGACAGCCGTCCTTGCTCACTGTCCCTGTCCACATCCTTCCCACCTGCTCACCTCACCATGAATCAGCCTCCGTTATGCCACTTCCTCCTTGCAGTGCCATGGTCATTGGCTCACCTGCCTCCAGCCCCACCACTACAGAGTGCCCCGACAGATGGCTGCACCATGAGCCATGGCTGCCTCTGCAGGGGGTCTGCTCATAGGGCTGATGGGACGAAGTGCAGTGACTTACAGGGGGAGACCTGCTCCTCCACACAAGACAACTGACAGAGGGGCATGACTCAAATCATCCTAGGTGCCCCCCCATGCCAACAGGGGCCCACTATAGAAAGCAGAGTTGGGAGGACGACGAGGGCTTACCTTGATATGTGGAAAAATTCCAGAGCTCATTTTAGTTTTTCATCTCAGTGTTTACATTCTTCGCTCTTCTCAATACTCAAATTTGGGGCCAGCAGGTGGTGTGGTGCTTAAGGTGGACTGTCCCATGACCGACCACGGCTCAAGTCCTGGACCTGGTGGCTTGCCTTCTCACTTTCCCTTTCTCTCTTTCTGGTGAGCACATGTGCCCTATAGCAAATTATAAAATGAAAAATAAATTAATAAAACTAAAGTCTCTAAAAGAAAAACCCTCAAATTCCATTCACTCTCTCTCCATAGTCTCTAATCCAGGGCATTGCCAGCTAACACCTCATTGGTGTAACTACAGACATCTCATGAATCAGTACAAATCAATACACATCCTTTATCTCTTTGTAGAAATGCTAGGGAAGGTAGGGGGAAAAGAGAATGATTGACAAAGGAAACAGCTGTTTGATTTCCTGTATAAACATTACATTAACTTATTCATAAATATTTTAAGTCTTCTTGTGCTACTGAGGGTGTAGCCCATGTCCTACTGACTGGCATCACCCAGGGCTGTGTGGACAATCAGAGTTCTGAGCCTCACTGCAGACCTACTGAATGATGATCTATGTCTTTATTTATTTTTTATAAGTACATTTATTTGTTTGTTTATTCATGAGAGGCATATACACAGAAAGAGAGAGAGAGACTCCAAGACAGTCCTCATGCTCCAATCTGCCCCGCCTCAGTCAGCCTGGTTCATGGGCATGTAGGTGCATACCTTGCATAGACAGGGAGAGCCCAGGATGCAAACCCAGGACCTTCCTATGTGGCATGATCATTGCACCATCAGCTGGCCTGACCCACATCTTTAATAAGGTACCGAGGGGATTATTCACACACGAAGTTTGAGAAGTACAGCTCTGACATTCTAAGGTGAGCTGCTTCAAAAAGGAATAAATAACTCCCAGTTGTCCTACTCAGCAGACGAGACCTAGGCGGCTGGATTTGGCTGAGGAGTTAAGGAGAGAGGTGTCAGACTTCTCAGCAGCAGAGCTGTCTCTGTCTATTCAGCGACATTCGTAGGCAGTCCGAGATCTGACATGACTAGACCGTGTAAAGAAGTAGCTGTTTTCCAGTCATTTTCTCGGCCTTGGAGGAGCTGAGCTAAGCCGTTGATCTCCCTCATTGTTGATGGATCTGGTCGGGCACAGGCAATTTAGCAAATCTGTTTTGTCCTGTTCCTTACATGGGATTTGTTGTAACTTTCATATTCCAGAGGTACAAACATGGCATCGATAAATAGTTTGGGTCTTAGGAACCCTTCAGGAAACTGGGACTACTTACTAATACATCTTATAGCACTTAAATTGGGGTACAGAGGGGTGGCTGTTGGTTTCCAGCATTCCAATGCCCAGGTGAAAACTGCTGCATGTGTTTTTTAGGCTACAGCTCTGTGCGAATATTTGGAGGAACACACAGAAGAACTGAATCTCCAAGATGCTAAGATACTTGAAATTGGTGCTGGACCAGGCCTTGTTTCCATTGTGGCCAGTATTTTAGGTTTGTTTGTTTATTCTTGACCTTGCTTCAAATGACTTTCCTGCGACAATGACAGTGAGTGTTCACATTATAAGTGGCTGTGGTTTAGGTGATTGGTCATGATTTCACTCAGCAATCTCCCCAAAATGTCATGTAGCAAGAATGACTTCTGTAATCCACACAGACAAGATAAGTGAATCTTAGGCTGAGTAGTTCCTCCAATCTATCCAGTTCCACATGATGATCCTGGGTCCAGAGGCATGACTGAATCACTATTATTGATCATTTCAAGCGGCAGTGTGGTGAGATGGGGGTGTTACTGACATCAAATAGGTGGAGACCAGGGAGGTGCTAATCATCTTATAGCACACAGGACAGGACTTCCCTGCCCCGAGAGTTATCCAACCTGAATATGTCAAATATGTCTGTACACCAACAGGGCCATGGTGGACAATTCGAGTTCTATGTCTTATTTTTCCCCCTTTATGAGAGAGAACAGGGAGAGAGAGGGAGGAAAGAAGAGAGACAGAGATACTTAAAAAAAAAAATATCCAGAGAGTGCATATGCTCACCAAAGAGAGACCGAGAAAGAGATGGAGAAAGCAGCCAATTTCTGCATCCTGCTGGGATTTAGGGCATGCGTGCATATATTCCTGGAGTTTTTGAAGCCACTGGGGCCAGTATTCGAATACTGATTAGTGTGGGATCTGACTCTCTTAACCACCAGACTATGGGGCCTGCCCCACAGATAAAGACTTTTTGTTTGTTTTAAGAGATTTTTACTATAGGGTGTGTGTACTCACTGGAGACAGAGAAACAGAAAGCTAGAAATCACCCCCTAGGGAGAATGGCCATGTTCAATTATCCTTTTGGGATTTGGGGCACACATGTGCCTGGTGTGAGTTTCAGGCCACCAGGTCTGGGACTTGAACTATGGTCAACCACATGGGAGTCCAGAGCCTTAATCACCAGGCCACCTGCTGGCTCTGAGGTAGGTATTTTTTTTTTTTTTGGAGAGGTTTTCGCCATAGGGCGCGTGCGCTCGCCAGACAGACAGAGACATAGAGACAGAAAGTGAGAAATCACCCCCCAGGGGGGATGGTCACGCCGCAATCCCTTCTCCTCCATTCTCCTCTCGGGATCTTGGGCACGCACGCACACGCGTCCGGCGTGAGATTTAAGCCACCGGGTCCGAGACGCGAACCGCGGTCGACTACGTGGGAGTCCAGCGACATAGCCATTATGCTAACTGCTGGTTCCCTGAGGTAGGTATTTTTGATAAGAGTGTTGCCAGTGTCGATGTCCTGCCCCAGACTCCCAACAGTAAGGGAGACAGGTGTGCACACTGCACCCCTTGGACTTAGTTCTATCACTGGCACTTGTTCCTGAGCATATGCACAGTGTGACTGCCTACATGTTTCCAGGTAATTGTAACAATTTTTCTTTTCCTCTCTTAGGAGCTCAAGTCACAGCCACGGATTTGCCTGATGTCCTGGGAAACCTTCAGTACAATCTTTTAAGAAACACTCTCAAATGTACAGCACATCTGCCTGAAGTGAAAGAACTGGTATGGGGCGAAGATCTGGAACGGAACTTCCCCAAATCCACATTTCATTATGACTATATCCTGGCCTCAGATGTGGTCTATCACCATTACTTCCTGGACAAGCTGCTGACCACCATGGTGTACCTCTCCCAGCCAGGGACCGTGTTGCTTTGGGCAAACAAGTTCAGATTCAGCACTGATTATGAATTTTTAGATAAATTCAAACAAGTTTTTGATACAACGCTTTTGGCTGAATACCCAGAGTCATCAGTCAAACTTTTTAAGGGGATACTAAAATGGGACTAAATTAAACAAAATACCTTTCAAAATGCTAGTGTGTCTTTTGAGCTGCGTTAGAAGTTGCATTGGCAATAAATGGCTTCTTGTATGAGATCAGTAAGGTAGGAGATAGAAACAACTTGTGTATCTAGGATAAATGCAAATTATTACTGCAGCAACGTTCTAAAGTACTTTGAAATTAACTATCTACAGAGAGTCACATAAACACATGAAAGTAGCTTTGTTAACTTCTGAATCTCAGTAGAATGTTTAATAAATTTTACATGAATGAATAAATAAATGCCCCCTTGTGTGTGTGCATAGTCATTTATTAAACCAATAAAATGCTGAGACTAGTTTTCACGCTTTCATTACACACACTTGTAGACTCACGGTGAGGGTTAAGACCTACAATCAATTCCTGAAACCTTTACAAGTATCACTTGAGAATAAAGGAATGAAGGAAACATCAATCATAATGGGTCAAATGAGATATGAATAAAAGATTTTAAAGAAACTACTTAGGTAATGGATTGCTTTAGTTATTACATTTTCTGACTATTTGAGGATTTAGCAGGATAAAGCTTCTAAACAACTTGTTTTTACATAGTTCTAACTCTATTGTTTTCTGATCTTAATGAGTGTGACATATTGGGACCAGCAGATGGCATAACGGTTATGTTGCTGGACTTCCACATGGCCAACAGTGGTTCAAGTCCTGGACCCTATGGTTTCAAACTCACACCAGGTGTGTGTGCATGCATGCCCAAAATCCTGAAAGGAGAATGGAGGAGAAGGGATTGTTGTGTGGCCTCCCCCTTGGGGGGTGATTTCTCACTTTCTGTCTCTCTCTCTCTGCCTCTCTGGTGAGTGCATGCATGCTATAGCAAAATTCTCTCTATATATATTTAAAAAACCATGAGTGTAGCATATTAAAACTACTCTGTGATAAGTTTTCATAGTGTACAGGCAGACAGTACCAGGAATGAGTGTGTTCAGGCTATTATAAGAGTAGAGACTAGAAGCAGAGGATGCCCATCAAACTAAAAAATGGTGAAGATGCAGGAAGTGGCAGGGAGGGAGGAATCTTTCCACAACCACAAACTCCTTAAGCATCTGCTAAAGTAGAAATTAAATTCATTCCTTGCCAAATTGTGTACCCAGATAGTTTTGTATTGAGTTCTACCCGGAAGTCATCTGGGGAATCTAAGGACATGTATTCTTTATTTTTGAAGCGCCTTTATTTATCAAATGTATAAAAACTAATTTATTTTCTGATTTCCCTATTTTCCAAAGGATAGCATACAGAAAATAAATCTTCCTGTCTAAAATTCTAATAAGGTATTACCTTTACCTTATTAAAAAAAAATTGCTATAAGGCACATACACTGCCTAGAGAGACAGAGACAGAGAGAGGGAAAGTGAGAAAGCAACCCCTGGGGGGATGGCCATGCCACAATCTCTTCTCCATTCTTCTCTCAGGATTTGGAGCACACACATACCACACACCCAACATGGGACGCTGAGTTTAGAACTCTAACCACGGGGTTAGCCATGTGGGATATAGTCACTTCAACCATGATGCCACCAGCTGGCACTGAGCCACTGCTGGCTTACATTTTTTAAAATCCATTTATCTGTTGATGGACTCTTAGACTGATTCCATATTGTGGTTATTGTGAATAGGGCTGCAGTAAAAATTGGAGGGCAGACATCTCTATGACCTATTGATTTTTTTGCCTTTGGATATATGCCTAGCAGTGGAATTGCCAGAGCATACGGCAGTTCTGCTTTCAGTTTCCTGAGAAATTTCCTTGTTTTTCATAATGGCTGTACTAATTTATACTCTCACCAATAATGTACAAGAGTTTCCCTTACTCTGTATTCTCACTGCCATGTCTCATGCTTTTGTCTTTTTGATGTTAGTCATTCTAATTGGAGGGAAATATTCATTGTGGTCTTGATTTCCATTTCCCTTATCATAAGTGATGTTAAATATTTTTTCATGTACTTATAAGTACATTTTTCTAATTTTCTTTTTTTTTTTTTTTTTGAGAGTTTTTTGCTATAGGGCATGTGTGCTTGCCAGAAAGACAGAGAGAGACAGAGAGATAAAAAGCAAGAAATCACCCCCTGGGGGGATGGCCACACTGCAATCCCTTCTCCATTCTTCTCTTGGGATCTTTGGCATGCATACACATGTGCCCGGAGTGAGTTTAAGTCACCGGGTCTGGGACTTGAACTGTGGTCGACTACATGGGAGTCCAGCAACATAGCCATTATGCCAACTGCTGGTCCCTATAAGTTCATTTTCTATTGAGTAATGTCTATTCAGAGAACTTACTATCTTAAAATCAAATTTTTTTTTTTGACTATTGAGATGTTTGTGTTCCTTTATATTCTGGTTACTAATCCCTTGTCAGATGTATAGTTCACAAATATTTTCATTTATTCTGCCAGTTGTTCCTTCACTCTGCTGATTATTTCTTTGTCGTGCAGATTTTTAGTTTGATATAATCTTCTTTCTCCATTTTTTTTCACTATAGGGCATATGCGCTCTCCAGACAGAGAGAGACATAGAGACAGAAAGCGAGAAATCACCCCCTAGAGGGGATGGTCACGCTGCAATCCCTTCTCCTCCATTCTCCTCTCGGGATCTTGGGCATGCACGCACACGCGCCGGGCATGAGTTTTAAGCCACCAGGTCTGGGACGCAAACCGCGGTCAACTACATGGGAGTCCAGCGACATAGCCATTACGCTAACTGCTGGTTCCCCGTTTTTGTTTTTGTTGCTGTGTTTTTGAGGTTTTATCTAAAACTCTGCCCATATTTATGTCCTGAGTGTTTCTCCTATGTTATGTTCTACTGGTTTTATAGATTTTAGTTTTACATTTAAATCTTTAACTCATTTTTTAGTTCATTTTTTAAATATGGTGAGAGACAGGGGTCTAGTTTCATTCTTCTGCATATGATATTCAATTTTGCCAGCACCAGTTTTTGAAGAAATTGTCCTTTCTTCAATGAATTTTCCTGGCATATTTGCCAAAAATCAGTTGGCTGTTTATATACAGATAGGCTTATTTCTGGGTGCTCTATTCTGTTCAATTTGTGTATATCTTTGTAAGCTAGTACCATGCTGTTTTGGTTACTACAGCTTTATAACATATTTTGAAGTCAGGTAGTTGATGTGCCCAGCTTTGTTCTTTTGGCTCAGGATTGCTTTAGCAATTTAGGCTTATTTGTTGTTCCATATAAACTTTATGATTATTTCTTATATTTCATAAAGAATGCCATTAGTGCTTTTGATAGAGATTATATTGAAGCAATCAATTACTTTGGGTGATAGGTATTACACTGAACCTACCAATCACTTTGGGTGATATGGACATTTTAACATTAATTCTTCCAATCCATAAACATAAAATCTCTCTCCATTTTTGATGTTTTCTTCTATTTCTTTTATCAGCTACTTTATAGTTCTCACTGTAGAACTCTTTCACCTCCTTGACTAAATTCAAGATATTTTAATGTTTTGGTAACTACTGTAAATTTACTACTTCTCTTGATAATTTATTGAAAGAGAGAGAAGTACCCATGACAAGGACAGGGTCTCATCACATTGTGACATGACTTGACCAGCTAAGATAATAGGCACACCTGTGGGTGTACATTGCATGCTTTGTTTAACACAGGATCTAAACCCCAAATCTTCTTCTATGGATCTTGTATTGTGCAACTGCAACCTGCTGCTTGAGCTCCAGGACTAGAGGGAGACTGCATCTTGAGTTCTTTTTCAGCTAGTTCGCTCTTGGTATATAAAAACAATACTGATTGGGACCAGCAGTTAGTGTAATGGCTATGTCGCTGAACTCCCATGTAGTTGAACGCGGTTCGAGCCCCCGACCCAGTGGCTTAAATTCATGCTGGGCGTGTGTGTGCATGCCCAAGATCCCAAGAGAATGGAAAAGGGATTATGGTGTGGCCATCCTCCTTGTGGGGGTGATTTCTCACTTTCTGTCTCTCTGGCAAGCAAGTGCACAAGCCCTATAGCAACCCCCCCCCAAAAAATACTGATTGTTGTGTGCTGATTTTGTATGTTGTTAACTTCAGTGAATTGTCAGTTATAAGATTTGTGTGTGTGTTTAATCTTTAATTTGTTCTCTACATACGATCATGTCATCTGCAAATTGGGATGATCTGACATCCTCCTTTCCATATTTAGATGCCTTTTATTTCTTCCTTTTTGTGTAACTGCTCTGGCTAAAACTTCAGTACAATAAGAGGGGCGAAAATGAATATGCTTGTCTTCTAGGTCTTACAAAAACATTTTTAGCTTTTTCCTGTTCAGTATGCTAGTTACGAGTTGGTCATATATGGTCTTTACTGGATGCCTTCTATAACTAATTTTTTGAGACTTATTTTTATCATGAAGATATGTTGTATTTTATCAAATGCTTTTTCTGTGTCTGAGATGATCAGTTTTTGTCCTTCATCTATTGATATGGTGTTAGTTTTATTGATTTGTGTAGGTTGAACTATCCTTGTATTTCTGGGATAAATCACACTTGATCATGATACACAGTCTTTGATGTAATGTTGGATTTGGTTTGCTAGTATTTTGCTGAGGATATTTTGCATCTATGTTGAACAGGATTACAGGTCTGTTGTGTCTTTTTCTAGTTTTAATATCAAAGTAATGCTGGCCTCTTAAAATGAACTTGAGATAATTATCTTCCCTTCAACTTTTTGGAATAGTTTGACAAGATTCATGCTAGTTCTTTAAAGTTTTGTAAAATTCAGTAATCTATCTTGAGGATTTCTTTGATGGGAGATTTTTTTAAATCATTATTACTGATTTAATCTCATTTCTCATTATTAACATATTTTTCTATTTTCTCTTGGTTCAAACTTGGTAAGTTGTATGTATCCAAGAATGTATACACTTCCTTTAGGTTTTCAAATTTGTTTTCATATATTTGTTTGGAATAGTCCTGGATGATCTTTTGTGTTTCTGTCACTATCAGTTGTAAAGTCTTTCAAGACTTGTTAGGTTCGATAGTATGATTGATATCTCTAAAATTTCTTATCTAGATCATGGTTTGTTTTTGTTTTCACTGAATTGCATGTCACTAAGTTTCATTAGGATTTTTATTTTTTTGCTAGAGGCACTCTTCTACACTCACCACAGAGACAGAGACAGGGAGTGGGAGAGAAATTGCCTTCCCTTCATGGGAAAT